CAATTAATAATTGTCTCAGTAAATGCCCAAACCCTACAGAACTGGTGCCTTCAGAGAGCCACTATGATTACATATTTGGCGTCCCTGAACCGGTTTTTCCCTACATGCTTTATCCTGTTTTGGTTACTAATCTTTTTAGTAGTGGAAAAATTAACTAATTTACATTGTCTTTTTCGTTGAATCTGACCTGACAATTTCTTGGAATAAAAATGTAGTGCATTGTTCTTCCAGATAGTGTGAGTAATACAGTGTATAATCTATCCTGATCCATAATAAAATCACTAAACTTGGGCTTGGAGCTGGTCAGATGAACTGATCAGCCTGGATGACATTTGAGACACTAAAACAAAAGCAAATCCTCCAGGTTCTCTAGTGTCCAGTACAAAGCAAAACACTTGAATTTGAATTCTAAAGTGTTCAAACAGCACACAATTCGAAACTGAAAATAATAATGGGGTGTTCTTATTTATTTTTCCCTTCACTGAATGAATGTTGTATCTTGAGCTACATTACTGGCTTGCTGAACGTCTTGATGATTTATGCTGTAGCCTGATTTTTTCACTAAACCTTTTAGTAGTAACACAACAAGACCTCAATCAGTTTCTGCCTGGAATGATGTCTCCTCAAACATTTTGTAATCTCTAGAAGTTTACATAGTAGAAGCCTGATTTATGATTTGAATTAAGGCTAAATAACTACACTGACTGTATGATTTCGGATTAAGATTGTAAGATGTTCAGCCTGAACACCATTTAAAACATTGGAATATGCTTAATTATCTTTAAGTTTACAGAGTCCACGATTTTAAGTGGCCAGTACAAAGCCAAAAAAGAGAGTTTTTGTTTTGTCAGCCTAATCTTTTTTTAAATAGATGCACTGACTATATGATTTTGGAATTGTAAGGTGTTCAACCTGAGCACTATCTGAAAATTACTGAAAAAAAGAGATGGGTGTTCTAAGCTGCCTGGATGAATAAAGCTAAATGTGAGAATGTTTATTCACCCATCCAGTCCAACAACCTGGAAGCTGAACACTGACCGTGAGTTTGGAACTGGGAATCCAAATTCATCACTGCAGAGGAGATCTGAGAATCTGAAATGATGCAAGAACAGCCAAATGGTGACTATATTACTACAATGTTTTTATACCGGTAATTGCCATGACATTTTTGCTTAGGGTACATTTAGCACTGTACAATACCAGTTTGGTCAATAGAACACATACTGTATAAATACATTTTCAGCATATACAACCTTAATCCTGATAGAGATAACACAGATGAGAATGGTTTACTATAAATATTTATGAATTCAGCTGAAATGTGTATCACAGACTGCATAGGCTAATCAGTCCTATCAGTTAACACATTAACACATTAATTTAATCTTTGCCTGAAAAGTGCTATAAATTCCCAAGAACAACCCCCTCACATACACACACATACTGTACACACAGCACCTACCATTGCTCATCAACCCAACTTGTTTCATTTTTAGGCTTTGAATTTCTGATGAACCTATAAAGACAAAAAGGCTCTAGTCATGTGAATGTGCTAAACGTAATTACAGCAAGCTGAACGCAAATACGACGTGAGTCATAAGAAGAGCTGGGGGAAGAAAATGGAAAGAGAAGCACTGAGAGTTCTTGAAGAAGAGGAAACTAGATAGTTCCTCCTTTTTTAGCCCTCTTCAAAGAAAACCCAGAGTATCTTCATTCTGGATACCCTGTGTTTCCCTGAGAATTTCAGTTTCTTAGGTATCACTTCTTAAGCAGGAATATGCTTGTGGTTTTTCCATGACTAATGGCAAATGCAATGCATAGAATTAAAATAGCAGAGAAAAAGCTTGGAACTTTATTATATAAGCGAGTGTCTCCCTTCAGGAGTTTAAGTTGTTCTATCCTGCATACGTTTCAGGACTAATTGAAGCCCGGAAAGTTTTCAAATGAAGATTTGGGTGGAGTGGCCGAGATTTGTTCTTTTTGCTGCCACATCCTTTATTTAAACAGGCCCTAAGCAGCACAAACTATAGAGATACACGTTATGCTACATGAATGTAAATGTAAAAAGCAAATGGAACTCTACAAACCCCTTTCAGGTCTGTGTGCACATACAGATGTTTGTGTGCATACAGGTTAAAAATGATGTGTGAGATTTTGTGAAATATTTTGCTCTGGGGTTGAAAATGGTGTAACAATGTGGGAGTGGGGGGAGCACTGGTAAAAATGAGCTGCTGTACACCGTGACATCCAGTCTGGGTTTACCCTATTTAACGGGGTCTAGCCTGGGAAAAAAGAAACTGCTCAGCACAGCGGTAACCAGTCTGGAAGAGCAGGGAGCGCAAGGCCAAAACAAAATAAAAACTAGACGTGTAAAAAAAGGTCAACCTGCCCGATAGAGATACGTGACGGGACAGGCACAAAGAAAAAGATAAAAGAAATAAAATGGCCTTATGCTTGGATACAATCCCCCTGGGACTGTCAGTGGAAGTTACTCCCCTTCTGGGATTTCCATGCTTGTCCCTTCAGGGGGTGTTCAGTATCTTTTTAAAGAGCCTTCACAACTGTGGCTCATCCTTAATCAGCCAGTACAGCTGTGGCCACTAAAGTAATGCCTCGCCCTTCATCCAGGGCCCCTGCCACACATGGGTTAAATCACAAATATAGCCAAATTTCTTTTTGGGAAAATGTATACAAGTGGACTAGCTGTCCTCTAGGAAAAAATAATGTTCCTTACAAGGATGCAAAGGGAGACAGCAATTACATTTGAAACTGATATCTTACTGCTCTCTTTCAAGGCAGCTTGACTCTTTCGGAGGTGCTGAATTTCTTCAATTAGTGCTGAGTCTAAAAGAGAGAGTCCAGATTGAGATTAAAATCTGTAAATCTGTTTCTCTGGGTTTGCATGTACTGGCTCAGCGCATTAGTAGACAGATACTGTTTCACAAATCTACAATATAAATACATTTTTTAGCATACACAACCTTAATCCTGATAGAGATTACACAGATGAGAATGGTTTACTGTAAATATTTATTAATTCAGCTGAAACTTGTATCACAGACTGCATAGGCTAATCAGTTCTATAGTCTAATAAGACATGACATGTTAAAAAACGCATAAGAGAATTTAACACACTGCAGTCCATTATAAAAGGCACTTTGCTAAATGACATTGATTTTAGGTTATTTGAATGCTTGTGTCTTAGATTAATTTCAAACCTTGACCATTTTAATGTCATTTTGTAAATAAAAACATACTGTAAAGCTAAAAGATAGAATGTTTTATCCCCCAACCAGTCAAAAAACATAGAAACAGCACTGAACTGGGAACTGGGAAACCTTTAGTAGGCAGAATGCTACTACCAAGTTAAGTGGGTAAACACTTAGGCTTCAGCCTGTAGATTATGTAACACATTAATTTAATCTTTGCCTGAAAAGTGCTATAAATTCCCAAGAACAACCCCCCCCCCCCACATACACACAGCACCTACCATTTCAGCAGCCTACCTTTGCAGGGTTATATGGCCAGCAGCCATAACACTCTACAACTCACAACTGGCAACCCACTGAAGCTAAGCAGGTGTGAGCCTCCTGGGAAAAACTAAGGCTGCTGCTGGAAGAGGTGTTAGTGGGGCCAGCAGGGGGTGCTCACCCTGCAGTCCTTTTGGGTCCTAATGCCCCAGTATAGTGAGGGGGACACTATACTGTAAACAGGTGCCATCCTTCAGATAAGACGTAAAACCGAGGTCCTGACTCTCTGTGGTTATTAAAAATCCCAGAGTGTTTCTGGAAAAGAGTAGGGGTGTAACCCCGGTGTCCTGGCCAAATTTCCCATTGGCCCTGACCACTCATGGCCTCCTAATAATCCCCATCTATGAATTGGCTTCATTACTTTGTTCTCCTCCCCAGAAATATCTGATGTGTGCTAAGCACTATGACCGCCGTCACATCATCCAGGTGGGACTGCACATTGGTGGTGGTGGAGGGGAGTTCCCATTATCTGTACAGTGCTTTGAGTGGAGTTTCCAGAAAAGCACTATATAAGTGTGAGCAATTATTATTAATTATTACCATTGCTCATCAACCCAACTTGTTTCATTTTCAGGCTTTGGATTTCTGCAGGATTTATAAAGATAAAAAGGCACTAGTGATGTGAATGTGCCAAACGTAATTACAGCAAGTTGAACGCAAGTATGACGAGAGTCATAAGAAGAGCTGGGGGAAGAAAGTGGAAAGAGAAGCACTGAGAGTTCTTGAAGAAGAGGAAACTGGATAGTTCCTCCTTTTTTAGCCCTCTTCAAAGAAAAGCCAGAGTATCTTCATTCTGGATACCCTGTGTTTCCCTGAGAATTTCAGTTTCTTAAGTATCACTTCTTAAGCAGGAATATGCTTGTGGTTTTTCTATGACTAATGGCAAAGCAATGCATAGAATTAAAATAGTAAGGGAAAAGCTTGGGACCTTATTATATAATAAACAAATTATACTGGGATCCTAATTTATCACTCCCTTAAAACAGTATCTCCCTTCAGGAGTTTAAGTTGTTTATCCTGCATGTGTTTCAGGACTAATTGAAGTCAGGAAAGTTGTCAAATTAAGATTTTGGTGGAGTGGATGAGATTTTTTCTGTTTGCTGCCAAATCCTTTATTTAAACAGGCCTTAAGCAGCACAAACTATAGAGATACACATTATGCTACATGAATGTAAATGTAAAAAGCAAATGGAACTCTACAGTACAAATCCCTTTCAGGTCTGTGTCCACATACTGTATGTTTGTGTGCATAGAGGTTAAAAATGATCTCTTATGGGAGATTTTGTGAAATATTTTGCTCTGGGGTTGAACATGGTGTAACAATGTGGGAGATGGAGGAGCACTGGTAAATATGCGCTGATGTACACCGTGACATCCAGTCTAGCCTGGGAAAAAAGAAACTGCTCAGCACAGTGGTAACCAGACTGTTACCAGGAACAGGACTTACCCTTTTTAATGGGATCCAGTCTGGAAGAGCAGGGAGCGCAAGGCCAAAACAAAATAAAAACTAGACATGTAAAAAAAGGTCAACCTGCCCGGTAGATAGGTGTGATGGGACAGGCACAAAGAAAAAGAAAATAAAAAACATTGACCTTAAGCTTGAGTACAATCCCCCCTGGGACTGTCAGTGGAAGTTACTCCCCTTCTGGGATTTCCATGCTTGTCCCTTCGGGGGGTGTTCAGTGTCTTTTTAAAGAGCCTTCACAACTGTGGCTCATCCTTAATCAGCCAGTACAGCTGTGGCCACTAAAATAATGCCTTCATCCAGGGCCCCTGCCACACATGGGTTAAAACGCAAATACAGCCATATTTCTTTTTGAGAAAATGTATACAAGTGGACCAGATCTCCTCTAAGAAAAATAATGTTCCCTACAAGGATGCAAAGGGAGACAGCAATTACATTTGAAACTGATATCTTACTGCTCTCTTTCAAGGCAGCTTGACTCTTTCGGAGGTGCTGAATTTCTTCGGTTAGTGCGGAGTCTGAAAGAGAGAGTCCAGATTGAGAGGTAAATATAAATGATAACTTCTGATCTGCTGTGAGAGCCTCAGTCCAAAGGACTGTTATGTGGTCATTGATCTTCAGAAATGGTTTCATTTTACTGCTTTTTTTCAGAGTGGCCCTTAGCAAATAAAATCTGTAAAGGGGTTTCTCTGGGCTTGCATGTACTGGCTCAGCGCATTAGTAGACAGGTACTGTTTCACAAATCTACAATATAAATCTAGAACAATCTATTTTTTAAAAGAATTACATACTGAAAGCCTTCCGGTCAAACTGAAGAATTCCTTCCAGGAGCTTAAACGCAGGATTTAGTTAATTTGCAAAATAAGAAGGAAGAATTGTAATGTAAAATGATTCATTCAGTTGTCATACCCTGCCAGTTTCTGGACTTACACTTAATGAAGGCCAGTGAGATGAAGACTACCCAGCCTACAGTGACCATCAACAGCAGGACATACAGCAGAATGATGGACTTGGTCCCAGCAACAGCAGCAGCTGGAGCTGTAAAAGGAGCAGAAGATTTATTTGCAATACAGTAGGTTACTTTTCATGTGACAGTCACTACTGTTGAACTTCCTGTCTTTTGAGGAACTGAAATTTATTTTCTTTTTTAGGCAGTTTCCGCCAGGGAGTAAAAAAAAAACGCGCTATGTTATCTCAGAAATCTGACTTAGTATCTCAGAATTGCGACTTAGCAACTCAGAATTCCGACTTAGTATCTCAGAATTGCGACTTAGTAACTCAGAATTCCGACTTAGTAAGTCAGAATTCCGACTTTATACTGTATCTCACATTTGTGACTTCGAGATAGCCATATTTAATTGTCTGTCCTTTTTTTATTGTAACGGATTCGGGTTCTAGGGCTTGTGCCCTCGCCGCTCCCACCCTAGTTCGTGCCTCGCTGCACTGGCTCGAACCTGAGTCTTGCCAGCTGAGCTAAAGAAGACCTTCTTTTTTAAGTAAAAAAGGACATACAATGGAAATAAGTAAAAAGTATGTTTCAGCTTTTATAATTGTGAATTCTTATGGATGTGAAGTGCCTATTTCTGTATCTTATTTCATATTCCGTCTAAGTAAATAAAAACTATTTTTTAAAAGCACACCGTGCACTATTCCATCCGGGTACTATGGAAGCCTCACTGGCGGAAATGGGATTCTATACAAATTAGTGTAATTAATTTGATTTTTATCAGGGCACTGTACAGAACAAGTCTTCAGGCTTATAGATCCTATGATCCTGTACGATTCATGAAAATAGTGTAACGCAACGGCCGACATACAGGTTGTACGATCTGCAGTACACCACCCTCTCCTGCGCATAACAGGGATGCTGGCCGCCGGGGTTAAAGAAAGTGTTCTTAAAGAAAGTGAGCCAGTGCAGCGAGGCACGAACTACTGTAGGGTGGGAGCGGTGAGGGCACAAACCCTAGAACCCAAATCCGTTACAATAACAAAAGGACAGACAATGAAATATGGTTATTTCGAAGTCGCAAATGTGAGATATAAAGTCGTAATTCTGAGTTACTAAGTCGGAATTCTGAGTTGCTAAGTCGCAATCCTGAGATACTAAGTCGGAATTCTGAGTTGCTAAGTCGGAATTCTGAGATACCATAGCGCGTTTTTTTTTACTCCCTGGCGGAAACGGGCTTCCATAATATGGTGTTATATTAGCTTAAAAAACAAAAAGCTAGGCTTTTCAGCAAACAGCCATCCTCAGGAAAAAAAAAATCATTTTAAAAAGGAAGAAAACTGAAAAAAAAACCTCTAACTCAAACTTTAGCGAAACCTTCCCTTTGAATTAGGTCCTTTTAATTCTTCAAAGTCACTTGTGATATTTATGACATGATAGTCTTCAACCTCATATCCTAAACTGAAATGCAAATATTAAGTGACAAAGGCCTTTATCGGAGACAGGATATTCCCAAGCTGTGTGAAGATCACAGTACTCCCATGTTGCAAAATACTGAATATGGAAATAAAATTAGGTTTTATATCCTTAGCATTGGCAGAGAAATAGAAGAACTGAAACACAGGTGTTTGGAAAGTTGCCAGGATAGAAATAGTTTCTTATATTTATGTAGCATTTTTCTACATAGTGTGTTTAGGGTACTCAGTAGGATAGTGTACCAGGTGTTAACTAGCTTTGATGACAAAATGACCACACTATGATAACACTCATGACTTGAGTTTCGACAAATGAACCAGGGAGGCAGGTGCTAGGGTGATGGTGGGATGGAAGAAAGGGTGTAGAAAAGATGTACACAGACTTGTGGGCAGCCAGCAAATATTAAACAAAAGTGCAAGTCTACAATCTGACCTCCTCCCGAACATCTGTTAAACAGCACCTTGGAGGTAGCTGTATAAAAATAAAAGACACATTATCAGGTCACTTTTAGCAGTCAATGGCTTAGTCGTACGTGTGCTGGATTTAAACTCTTCTGTTCTTTTCTCTGAGTTGTCCTGACTTCTCCTCTCTTGGGTTTGGCTGGTTTCCTTCATTTCTAGGGTGTATTCAATGTTTTCATAGTCTGCATCACTTTCTTCATCATCCCAACACTGATGCCCTGCAGAGACAAACATCTCTAACTGCTAAAATCATTGTCTTCAGTCATGTGCAGAAACAATTTCTTAAAAACAAATAATCATGATGGTTTTTATTTAAGACGATTAAAGCAGCTCTATCAGATATGGTATTGAAACTGCAGAACTATCTGATGCTCTAACATCTGAGCTCACTGGATCAATGTTTAGATAATTCATCTTTTATTGTGATCATAAAACTCTATAAAAGTTACCTGATATAAAACTTTCAAATTGGTACATGTAGACACATTCTATGACACATACCCTGTATATCCATCCATCAGTATATACTGATGGAAAAAAGAAACACAACTCCTCCTCTGGCAGCGCTGGCACATGACATGCCTGCCTGCAGTGTGCCAATGGCCCTCTCCCTTGCTTCTGGTGACATTTGTGGCATTATGGAATGCACAGAAAATGGACCAAGTGTGACTTTTTTCTTGCAGTGACCTAAGCTTTGAATGAAGGCCTTTTTAAAGGTGACCTCATCAGCCATTGTCCCACCTGGACCTTGTTGGATAAAAGTGCACCTAATGAGCTTTCGTGTGATTGGCAAGTTGCAATGCCTCACTGCACAAGCTGTATTGCTGGTCAGAGGGCTTAAAACAAATTTACAACTTTTTGTGAAAATACATAAGATATAACACATCTCATTCCAGAAAATGTTGTGTTTCTTTTTTCCATCAGTATACCATATATGGCGTCCTTTGCAAAGTCTTTTACTTTCTTCTCAGATTCTAATGGCACAGGCTTAAAGATCAAAATTCTGCAAGGGACAAGTTTTGTATGTACAAATGCTATTTCTTTTCTTTAGAAGTTACACGTTTTGCACTTAAGGAAACACTCATCAATTAAATGTGTGAATAACACACCCATTGAATAAGACAAATGTTTCTTTTATTACAAATAATTATGAATTTCTTCATTTATACTTGGTTTCCAGTTACATTTTCACAGTCTTGTCATGCACAAAGAAAAGAGTTGTGTAATCACACACATGAATACCATGGGACTAAGACAGGTAAAAGTTAATGAAAATCATAGGTACGTTAGATACGTAATAATACATAAACACAATTAATAGTAAAAGCTAGACAATTGATGCACACCTCATAATTTAATTTTTGTAATTTTGGGTAATTTGTCTATTTGTGTTCTACAGAAGAATTTCTCATTGTCCAACAAATGCAGAATAATAAACAATCTGGAATAAATGTAGTACACACAGTTAGATTATTCTCTGCCAATATAAAATAAAAATTCAGCTGCAGGCAACAATCAGTTTAGGGGAAAAAAAAAAACATCTCTGTTATTCAAGACCTATTCCTCCAGGACTACCTAATGAGAGAAAATACGTTTTACCTGATGGTAGCTGTGTTTTCCCAGTCTGGAATTGGTTCTGAGCTTCTATGTGGAGAAAATCATTATTCCCATAGATATCTGCCATTTTATTGATCAGTAGAGCAGATGTGTCTCTTTGAACTGCTGGGTGTAAATGGTACCTTATGGCAGCATGTACAGTACTGTATGAGTGGTTTTAAAGAGGAAATGTGTGGTATAATGGTTTGATGTGTCACAAAAAAGAACAAATGAGAAGTCCTATTGCCAGAAGATTATGGTCATTTTCGCTTAAATTAGTTTGATGGTCAACAAAATGAAGTCTTCATTCTTTTTCCAAGATTTGTGATAGTAACAGTTTTTTTTCCCAGTGCATTATTAATAACTGAGCACTCGGTGAAGTAAATTTTAATTAATCATACATGTTAACATAAATTCAACTAGGTACTATAGCTGAGTCAGCATGCAAAAGCTGCAAAGTAATAAGTAAAGGTTTATTCTGTGGTAAAAAGAGCATAAAAGAAACACAACATTTCAGCTGTGGAGCCTTCTTCAGGTGTTTATTTGCTCACTGTAATGTACTTGTATACATTTGTATGCAGCCGACGTCCAGGTAAAAACTAAAATGTTTCACAATCAAAAACAGAAGATCTTGGTGAAATGGTGACATTTCTCATAACAGAATATTGTGCTCATCTAAATGTTTGTGACTGTAGGTGAACCTTTTTGCATACATACAAACCAAAAATGGAAGCGTTCATATTTACACATATATATATATGTTGCAAAATAGCAGAATACATTGCAAATAAATTATTGATAAACTGTTACTTAATGAGTAAATACAATTAGTATTTCCTCTTCCTAGTTAATGCTTTTGACAATCTATCACAGGTTTACATGGCTATAGGATATTCTTATGTTTCTGGAACAATTTCAGAAAAATTGTTTGAATTTGTTTTTGTACAGCTTTAAGCACGACACAGTTTGAGATAAAAATACAGTACTTTCCCATGCTCTCAGCTTACATTTCTGGTATTAACAGAGGAAGCCTACTCCCACGCTTAATTTATATGAATAGTTTTAAAAAGGAAATCTCTCTTTGTGTTGCTGAGCTCAGAAATGAGAATTATGTATTATGAGGTTACTATGATGAAAACAATAAAGAAATTGACATCTACTACAACGATAATACAAATCATCCAAGAGGAATGTTTAATGATAAAAACCAAGTCACAACACTTAAATATATATTGTTACAAATGGGAGGTTACAAAAATGGTGAAAATCAGGAACTGACCGAGCGGTTTAGTCAATAATGAAATAATTATTCATAACCTGCAACTTGTAAGTGATTTCTCTAGAACAGGGGTGGGGAACCTTTTTTCTGCCAAGGGCCATTTGGATATTTATAACATCATTCGCAGGCCATACAATATTATCAATTTAAAATTAGCCTGCTATATTTGGTCAAACGTTTAATTAACACACCCCTAATGTGATGGCTAGAACTGCCTCTCTTTGGTGAGGCATGTGATGTTAGCTGGTTTTGATGATGTTGCTACTTGCAACTGCTTTTCCAGGTTTGCGGTGGTCAGTCTGGAGCACAGTCGATCAAACAGCCACTTGCTATCATTGAGTTCCCTGACAGGTTTTCCCTTCATCTCCATGAACTGCTTGACTTCATTCCGCAGTTCGTAAAACACAGTGTGTTAACACTTTCACAACGTATACACTCCCAGCCTGCCTGGCACTGACTGTCCTCTGAGTCACCGCAATACAGGCAGATGGTCCGAGGGCAGCCGGCGAGAAGCACACGTGTCTGTCCCGTCATGTTATCACGATATCACATTAAAATTTTTCATATTAGTCGATATCGATAATTATCCCGATACATGTCAAATCATTATTTCTTTCAAGTTTAAAGGCAGATTTTTCCTTTGAGTGAAAGTTGAAGAAACCAGACAGTTAATTGGTAAATTAAACAACTCTTTATTTTAAGAACACAACACTTGCCAAACAGCAGAAACATTAAACAAATCTGTTAGCTGCCCGGTCTGCAACACACACGCACTAGCACAGTATTTTGTGCGCATGCACAAACATGCAAACCGAAACCTATATATCGAACTTTTGTTAAAATTATATTATATTATATATCGAGGAAAATTATATCGCGATAATTATCGTTATCGAATTATCGCCCATCTCTAAGCCTGCGGTTACCTTGGCAGGACCAGACCAAATGATTTCGCAGGCCTTAAATTTATATAGCGTTCCCCACCCCTGCTCTAGAATATAGAGTACCTGAGTGGTTGATATAATTAGAGACACGTTAATTCTTTGTTCTCTGGCACAGCTTTTGTGAAAAGATTAATAATCCAGGCACACTTGGTTAAACAAGTATTTATTACAATGACGAGACACAAATTACACTACACACAACAAAACATACAACATACAGTACAGTACAAGTTACAAGTTACAAGAACCCGAACATCTTAATCACCCAGAAAACCCCTCAGACCTCTACTAAGTATAAAACTCTTAAATCATGCCTACAGAGGCCAAATAAGAGATAAGCCGCCTTCTAAATACAGTAAATGCAATACAACCTGCAGTTAAGTCTCTCTTTCTGTACCCCGGATGCCACAAAGTAAATGAGAGCTTATCTCCCCATTCTAAAAATGTACCCTAAAAACACAGAATAGCAAGCTCTCTATAGCAAGGTTCAAATAGTCAGGTTTTGTTTGTATAATCATGAAATAGGGGTTACTGCCTGCCACAAGCTTCAGGTTCCAACTCCTCTCTTCTCTCTATTCCTGTCCTCCTCTTATCCTTCTTGTTGTTTCTTTTCTTCTTATCTCTCTGTGATCTTAATGTGATCTTACATTGTATGTTTCTGTGCTGCTCATTGACAATATTAATCTACAACTTACCCAGGTATACCAAGATAAACTTTACAATGGATTATGATCAAGGGGCCTCCACATCTCAACAAACATCCTCTCAGTCACCTAAAGCTGTAACAACATCAAGTAGGCAGTTGCATCAGCATTGCTTAAGCTGCAAAGGAACAAGTAAAGGTTTATTCCATTATGAAAGAGAAAAAAAAAGAAACACAACATTCTGGCTGTGGAGCCTTCACATGAGTAAGGATTCATCCACATCCAAAGGAGGCTCCACAGCCATGTTTTTTTTCTTCTCTTTTACATGGAATAAACCTTTACATGTCCCTAAATATATACAGTATATATACAAAGGAACAAGTAATAGGTTTATTCCATGCTGAAAAAAAGAAGAAAGAAAACACAACGTTTTGGCCGTGGAGCCTTCTTCAGGCCGAAACCTTGTGTTTTCTTTCTTCTTTTTTTTTCAGCATGGAATAAACCTATTACTTGTTCCTTTGCAGCCTACATATACAGTATATATGCCCAATATATCAAAGAAAAATCAGTGAAGTTTGGCTGAACCGACATTTTTAGTACACAGTATCAGGAACCGGACAGGCATTGTTCTATAAATTAATATGGGTGCAAACCAACACTCTGTACCCAGGCCAGCACACGATTAAGTTCAGTGATCGTAGATCTATAAATCTAGGCACCCTCATCTAAAATGCTCTGCAATACAGTCTGGCAGGGCAAACCTTTCACTTGTAGACCTGATAGGATGTTCTTTATTAATGTGTTGATACAAACTTCTGGAAACATGATTTCCCATTTTTATTCCCACCACAGGTCATAGATGTGATGGCACAAATATGTCAGAGTCAATTATAATTTATCAGAGGTAATATGTATGATACCTACTGAGCACCAGGGCACTAGGAACCTGGGAGAAGGGTAAGTAACATTAAAGCAGAAAAGGCATGACTCAGCATTTCATTGAACACAAAGCAGGGGACACAAGAAATGAAAATGAAACATTTCATTACAAAATGCTAACATCAGCTACCCTTTCTATGAAACAGATCATCAGTACTTATTTTAGCAAAATCAAAAGCCTCTTCATGAATGTACACTGTCACTTCCCCAAAGTCTGTCAAAATGAATCTCAGTGACTGACTGATTTCTTGCTTGTTATCCATCTGAAATCTACTAGGAAAGCAAGAAAGAGGTCCAGTCAGGTTCGAAGGCACCTTAATAGTTGGATTAGAAAATATATTGAAACAAATCAAAAGTAAGGTATGGTTTTGGACTATTTTCTGGGGGGTGAAGTGGCTACATTGAAAGACATCCATCCATTTTCTAATCTGCCTATCTAGTATAAGGTCACAGGGAATCTGAGCCTATCCCAACAACCACAAGCCAGGATACTGTACACTCTAGATGGGATGGCTGTCCATGGCAGGTTAACACACACACACTCACACCAGAGCCAATTTTCCCAGAAGCCAATTAACCTACAGTACCAGTATGGCTTTGGACTTTAGGAGGAAATCAGAGCACCTGGAGGAAACCCACACAAACATGCCTTTCAAGTATTCAGATAGCACCCTAGCTCCAGAATTGATCCCAGGGCCCTAGCTCTGCAAGGCAACAATGCTAACCACTGCACTATTGTACTACCACATTGAAAGACAATGTAACTAAAATGCTTAACTAGTAACCAACACTGGTGATCTAGAAATAAATGGTAACAAATCTACTGTTTTTACTTTTTTTATGAGCGATACAAATGGCACAACAAACAAATGCCAGCAATCCTTGCGAAATTCAATAGCCTACATACAGTACAAGTTTAGAACATTTTAAAAAATGAGATTTATTTCTTCCAGTGGAATTGAGGCATTTTGTACAAAAACAGAAAATACATGGGAGACACGAAAGCAAATTATTTCTTCTTTGATTCATTATGCAGCTGAGCTCTTCTGTAAACATGGAAAGCAAGTGTATTTCAAACAGTGGCTATTTTGCTTGTTCAGAAAGTATTGAGTTGGTTACTTTTACAGTACTTTGTGGTGTTTGGGTAACACGAACCTCCTCCTATACAAACACAAAACTGAAATCTTTGTGCCAAAGAGCTGTGAAAATACTTTTAATTTAGATGTGTTTACTGCTTGGTGAGAAATATGAAATACAGTAAGCTTCGCTCTGGGGAATAGCTGTGAGGAGAGAAAGTGAACACACGTGTCCCCTTGTGGCTGCGAATTGCAATGTCTTTTCACTGACTAATGTTCAACTGCATGTTGGAAAGATGAAATTTACAAGCTCATAAAACAGCAATTTAGAAATCAGTGGGATTTATATGCAGATACAGTACATATAACATATAACATATAACATTATTAACATAACATTATTATTGGAAATATCTAGGTCTGAATTAAAACACACAGGTTATATTATATACAGCGGTTTTTCCTGTTCTAGAAAATTGTTTGGAACACAACAGAACAAATTCTGATTCCAATGCTAACATAACCTGCATTTCTTAAGCAAAGTATGACATGTGACAAGAAGAAGGACTTGCTAAACTTTTTACAGCAAGTTGTACTTTAATACAGAAGCATGAGTAGCTGTTGCATTCAGATAAGAATCTAGACACGCAGGCCCGTGGGGTGAGTTTTATGTAAGGAGAAGCTGGGACTTTCTCGTGATCTTGCATATCTAGCATTTAATATCAATACGAGGTGAGTTACAGTATTCAATACAGCACTGTTTACCTCCCCATAATCTTCATTGCCTGCACTTTTTGTCACTCCTGCAGTTGATAAGCAATACGTTTTTTCCTCTCTGCACATAAAATATATTTTGTACCCCAAAGGCACCCTTTGTATGGTAGTACACATAGGTATTAGGAAGTAATCATATGTGTACAGTAATGAGCAGTGTTATGGGCTTTCAAGTCACCCATGGGGCACAGCTACTCATCATCCCTTTAACTACGGAACATTAATTAACTCATCCAGCAAAAGCCCTGATATGTCAGGTGAAATACAGCAATGGGTGCCCCAGGTTAAAATGGGCTCATTTTTAACCATTCATTCAGAGTTGCAGTTAATATTCCCACAAATAATGCACCTATCTGTAATTGTGTGACAGCAATAGACTTTCATAAAATGCTTTTGTAAAGCAGACATCCAGTTAGGTATCCAGCTGTACTCAGGTACAGTAAATCATTTTTACTTTTACACGCCATTCGTTAGCATGTCTTATTCTAGACCCCACTGTATTTGTTGACATCAGGAAAACGTGATGCAAAATGTGTGATGTAACACATGTATATGGTATAACGAAATGCTATTTAGCTAGCTCTTAGACATTAAGTAGTACAAAAAAAAACAACAATACAATTGTATAAGAAAAGAAAGACAGAGACAACAGGCAATGTGCAAAACAAAAATAGATAAAGTGCAAAACAACAGCAGAAAACAGGTAATGTGCAAAACAACATCAGTTGTGCAAACTCAAACAACAACAGAATGAAATAAAGGATAGAAAATGATGGGGAGTGAACTTCTTGACATGTGAGGTAGAGGTAGATTTCAATGTGTGTTTGAGTTGTGATAAAGAGAGAAGGCACTGTAAGGGTTCAGATTGTGGGTGAGAGAGGCTGGGAGTTTAATAGTTTGATAGTGTGTGGGTAAAAACCCGGAGTCTGGTAGTCCGGGCCCGGATGCTCCAGTAACGTTTACCAGATGGTACTTTTTGGGGGGTGAAGTGGCTACATTGAAAGACATCCATACATTTTATAACCTGCTTGTCTACTACTGGGTCACAGAGGAGCCAGAGCCCATCTCAACAGGCACAAGCCTACTGTAGATACAATGTAGAAGAGACACCAGTCTATTGCATATACTCACACCAAGGTAATTTCTCCCAGAAGCCAATTAACCTACCAGTATGTCTTTGGACTGCGAGAAGAAACTAGTGCACCTGGAGGAAACTGACATATACGCAGGGAGAACATACATACTCCATGCAGATAGCACCCCAGCTCCAGAATTGATCCCAGGACCTCAGCTCTGCAAGGCAACAATGCTAACCATTGCACTAAGTGTAAATGTAAATGTAACTAAAATGCGTAACAAGTAACCAACCGTTCTCTGGTGATCTAGAAATAAATGGTAACAAATCTACTGTTTTTACTATTTTTATGAGCGATATAAATGGTACAACAAGCAAACGTCAGCAATCCACATGAAATAATACAATCTTAATGATTAGAACACTTAAACATAAGATTTATTACTTCCAGTAGAAATGAATACATTTTCTAAAAAAACAGAAAATACATAGGACATACAAATGCAAAATTTCTTCTTTGCTTCATTATGAAACTGAGCTTTTCTGTAAACATGGGAAGCAAGCGTATTTCAAACAGAGGCTATTTCTCTTGTTCAAAACTGATCAAATTGGTTAGTTTTACAGTATTTTGTGGTGCTTGGGTAACAAGAACCTCCTCCTAAATAGACCTCAATTGTAACCTTTGTGTCTTTTGACAAAGATAGACATATTTACAGAGCTGTGAACATACTCTGTACTTAGACATGTTTATTACAAATAGTTGGTGGGAAAACAGTAGGGCAAGTATTGTAAGTCTCGCTGTCATGAACAGCTGCACAGGGAGACCGTGAACACATGCGCACCCTTCTGGCAGAAATCTGCAATTTCTTTTTCCTGACTGCTGTTACAGAATGTTGGGAAAAGGTTAAACGCAAGCCCATTATATCTTCGTCCATTTCTAACACATTAAAAAGACTGAAGACCATAATGTAGACATATAGTTCGACAAACATTCGTTATACACTTTTACTGGTAGGAAATAACAAGAATGCTATTAAGGCACTTTAAAAAAGGTGAAACAAGAAACAGTTCTGTGATCATAACACACACTAGAGAAGTGGTATCAAGATTCCATTTAATTCATAAATGTTTTTTTCAAAATACTCAAGGTTCTACACACCCCCTCAAATGTAATTAATTTAACATAAGATAAAAAAATAATATAGTAAAATTAAAGGTATTAAAACTGTAATGATAATGCAGATCAACTGTAATGATAAGTGTTAAACTGTTGGCAGATGCTGAGTCTCTGATGGGTTAGGCCAGCAAGTTCCACAGATATGTTGCTGGACACAAGTATTGTGCATTGTATGGAGCCTGGTGTTAGGCAGAGTGAGAAGGCTCCATTAGCCATAAAGTGGAGAGTGGTCTTGGGAAGAGTGAGAAGTCTCTAAGGCCCATTGTGTGGATCCAGCTCTTTGGCAAAGTCAGAAGACCTGAATGAGAAAATCAGATTGTACTTTAGCAATAATTCCTTAAGATAATATGATGGTTGACCTTCCAGTGTCTTTTGGGAGCAGTTGTAGTACAGCAAAATTTTAATGGGAGCCAGTTCGATTTAGAAATGGGTTGGAGTTACAGTATATGCTAATGCAATAGTTATAGCTTTATATTATTGTTAAAGGTTTACTGTTATTGTTGTAAATATCTAGATCTGAATTGAAAATCAAAGGCTTTCTATTATATGAATATTTTTTTTGGTCCCAGAAAATAGTTTGGATCCCAGCAGAACAAATTCTGGCTTAAATGTTTAAAACTGTACATCCTGCTTTTCTAAAGCAAACTCTAAAATGCACTACTGTATATGAAGAAGGACTTGCTAAGCTATTTACAGCAAGTTGTACTTTGATATGGATCTGTTGTTGTATTCAGAATGACTCGCAAGGGGAAATTGGGACCATCTCTTGATGTCATAGTTGCAGTGTTTAATATCAATACAAGGTATACACTACAAGATATCAATACAATACAGAAAATCTAGTCCAGCAAATCCAATCCAGTCATGTTCATCTCTGCAAAATGTCCTGCACTGTTGAGCTCTATTGCAATCCAATAGCTGAGCAGTAAAAAGTTTTTCCACTCTGCACATAGGAGCATGAAACCAGTAGGTCTTAGAACATAAGCGTATACAGTACAGTATATGCTTATAGTACAGTATGTATCATAATGATCAGTGTCATGTGCTTACATGTCATCATAGGGCACTGCTACTCATCATCCTTTTACATCGTTGATTAACTCATCCAGTAAAAGCTCAGATGCTGTATGCCAGATGATCTACAGCAATGGGTGTTCCAAGTTAGTTAGATGGGATTATTTTTAAAACCCGTTCACAGTTTCAGTCAATATTCCCAAAACAAGCAAAATAACCTAAAATAATACACATAGTTGTGTGGCAGCAATAGATACTCATAAAATGCTTTTCTAAAATGCAATGAGGCATCCAGCTGTACTCGGACAAACAATTTTGGCCTGTAAATGGCATTCGTTAGCCTGTCTGATTCTAGACCCACTGTATATTTTGAAATTGGAGAAACGTGATGCAAGCTTCCAGAATTCAGTGTCCCCCCAATAAAAGAAATGCAGCAAATGCTGTCAGTACTTACATCTGATTCCTTTTACCAGGGGTCCCATTCAGCCAACTCTTGTTTCCTTTAAGATCGATGTCTGTCAGCCAACAAATTATGTTGCTTAAGTGTTCCTGATAATAAAAAAAACATCATTTAAGACTTAGAGCACTGTGGGCTTCAGAAAAAAAAAGATCCTGTCCACTTTAAGAATAGACATTTTCAGAAATATAGGTATTTTTGTGATCAGAGGATTTTTTAAAACAACTTTGATTTAAGCTACCATAAAGGTACGCATTTCATTTGATCATTGGGAGGCAGGTGTGACGCCTCTCCTAAGACTGAAGTAGCTCTGGTATCTGAACACACCTCACCAATTTCCCACTGAAAGCCAACTAATCCCATGAAAACTCTTTATGCAACCAAACCTTAATAATTGTGCTTATGTGAGAAGGTGCCTTTTTAACCCACCACCAATAATTAAATTAAATAACTAAATACTGTCCAGTCCAATTAAGTACAGGCTGTGTGTTCAAATCCCAGGTGAAACATACTTCTCCTGAATTGCTCCAGTAATGTACATACTGTAGGTTTGGAAAAAAATTAAATAATTAATTAAAATAAATTAGCAACAACAAATTTAGGTCAATATCTCTGGGCCTCTCCATAACAGTACGTTATAAATTGTTTTTATCCACCTCTATGAAGTGTTTGAATAGGTACAGCAGTTGTACATGAACAACAGATGGGTGAAGTGACAAACCAAAAGTTTTTCTGTTAATTGTTCAGCTCAATCCCAGGTCAATAAATGGCAACAAAATCTCACCAGTTCTTCTGTTCTGTAGACAATAGTGAGGTTAGAGCCCAGAGCCTTGCAGTTCTGTTTAGCTCCACTCCAGTCTGTTGAATTTTTTGAAAGGTAATAGCATGTCCCATTGATCTGGGCCCAGTCACAGGGACAGAGTTTCGCAGCACACGCTACAGCAAAAAAAAGAAAGAAGAGAAAGAGAATCTTTTTCAAATGCTCATTTTCGTACCCCTTTCCTTTCTCTCAAGGAGATACTGAAAGTAACAGGGCTTACTCTGCTTTGTGAGAATACAACAATCACCAGTCTGAAAACATTCAAAAGATTTCCAGTAGAGAAGGTTCATTTTCATGTTCATGTCTCTTTCCTGTCAAGGAGTTACTGAAAGTAACTGGGTTTACTCCACTTCATGAGAATACAACACATTGAAAACATTCAAAAGGTAGGCCCCATCAGTGGATTAGACAGACACAGATATGCACACACTCACATCAGGGACAGTTTTCCGAGAAGCCAATAAGTCTACCAGCACAGTTTGAACTGTGGAAGGAAACCTGAACACCAGGCGGAAACCCATGTGAACGCAAGAAGAACAAACAAACCCCATGAAGACAGTAGCCTAGGAACTGAACACAGGGCCACAACACTGCTGAGTCTGCACTCAGAACATTCTGAAACGGCCTTGTACAGTTTGAATAGAAACGCTAAGGCATACACTTCATAATACATCATGATAATTAAGTAATAATAATTTGTTGTATTGTTAAAACCGTGGCAGAATTTCATTTGGAGAACATGTTCCTCATTACTGATCAACTGTACTGTTAAACACATCAGGTCTTTGTACTGCCTGTACAATGCTGTCAATAGTTTACTTGTGCTTTGAGCTGCACTAAAACCAACACTAACAAACACATAAATACCAAAACACACATACACACTAACAAACACTGAAAACATACACTTTTCTCAATGGGAGATTGGAAGAACATGCAGACCAGGGTTTGAGTATAGTGACACACTTTAGAGTTTCATGATTCTATTCTACCATCCCATTGTTTTCTGTATTTCCTAGTATTTCCATGTTTTATCATACATTTACCTACAATAATGTCTTACAGTACATTTCCACAGTTTCAGTGTCCTAATACATGCAGTATGTATCACTGCCAATTGCCATTCAAATTAAAATCAGCTTATTTTGAAGTGGGGGTTGATCAGCATGACTGGGTGGCATGTTGGTGCTATTGTTTGCATTGCTGCCTTGCAGCGCTGGGGTCCTGGGTTTAATTCCAAACGTGGGCTGCTACTGTATCTGCTTGGAGCTTGTACTGTATGTTCTCCCTGTGTTTGCCAGGGTTTCTTCTCACAGTCTAAAAACAGACTGATGAGTTAAGTGGATTCTAGGAAAACTGGCCCTGGTGTGAGTGTGTATGAGAGAGTGTCTGTGTGTCCTGCAATGGATTGGTGTACCACCCAGGATGAGTCCTGTTTTGTTCTAATTGCTTTCCCAACTAGGCTCCTGCTGTCCTGTAACTCTGCACTGGACAGTGCAGTTAGAAAATGGATAGATTAATCAGCACGTCAGCATACCATACCGTAGTCTTTCAGCCACTGAATCTCCTTGGTCAGTGCAGAGTCTGAAACATGGCAGATGAAAACAGATCAGGGTTTGAGTATAATGGTTTAGACTCCACACAGTCAGTGTAGTCTAGAATCAAACCCTAAACCCAGGAACTCTATGGCAGCAATACGAACCTCATGCTCTGTGCACACTTACTGGTAAACTATTATTGTAATGATGAATTTAAGTTGATGTAATAGAAGTACAATTATAAGTGTTATATTTTGTAGTAAAAGCATTAACTTACTTTTGTTGTTGAGTAGGGAGATTTCAGACTCTACTTTATTCACTGCTGAAGAGACGTGAGAGACTAAAAACAGAAAAACAACCAGTGAGTATAGAAGAGCAGAAGACTTAAAGAAAATAGGGGCAGATGACCCAATAAGAACCAAGTTGTACTATACAGTATGTCAGCCCTACTTTACATGCAGGAAATATACCCAGCTACTAAAAATAAGTATTCTCCAGCCTACAGGTCTGTGCTCATTTTTATAGAAATGACCTTTTCCCCAGTGCTGTTAACAAGGTGGGCAGAGCTCAGAATGTGTAGACAGGATTTGAACGGCAGAAATAAAATGGTGGGGGCTTAGATTTCTTTTTATTTCTGAATTCCATTTGCAGTGACAACTGAGAGTATAATGGAGAGTGAAAATAATAATAATAATAATAATGATAATTATTATTATTATTATTATTATTATTACTAAATGAAGTACAGTTAGTAAGTAAGTAAGCATTCCCAGATTAAATGCATATTGTATTCGCCGTTTCTGTGACAAGTAAAAATGACAGCTTTCTAAAGCTTTCTAATATCTGTTAGTCTTGATGTGAAACTTCAGAAACACGTACTGTACAAAGCTTTTAACTACTCTTTAAACATTGAAGAGAATACATTTAGTGTCCCATAACTCTGAATTGGAAAGAGCGGTTAGAAAATGGATGGATTAATAAGCATGACAGCATACCAAGTGTAGCTTAGAAAACCATATCGTACATATATTCCCAGGCAGTAAAAAACAAATGCATACTGTACATTTAAAGGTCCACAGTTAAAATTAAGTGTCAACTACTCTGTGCCATGTGTGTGTACGTAAAGGTAAAAATATTGTTGTCTAAAAGTGTTACCCAAACACTTAATGAAAACCCAGAAAGCAACAATAAGTTGAAATATTTTCACTGTGCTGTATATCCCGTGCTGTACATGTACAATTCAACACAATATACAGTATCTCATCTCAATTTCTATCCTCTTACTCCTGGTGAGAGTCATGGTGAAGACCCTCTGGGCAGAACAGTCCAGATTTTCCTTTACCCAGCAACAATCTTCAGGTCCTCCTGGGGAACTCCCCAGCACTCCCAGGCCAGCAGAGAGACAGAATCCCTCCAGTGTGTCCTGGTTGTGCCCCCGGGACTCTTACCAGTGTGCTGTGCCTGGAATACCTCCCACAGGAGGCGCCGGGGGGCTTATCCTCACCTGATGCCCAAACTACCTCAACTGGCTCCTCTCGATCCAGAGGAGCAGTGACTCTACGCCAGGATCCTCCTGGACTGCTGAGCTCCTCACCCTGTCAGGGAGAGTAAACCCAGAAGCCCTACGGAGAAACCTCAAATCGCCACTTGTACCTGAGATCTCATTCTTTTAGACACTATTCAAAGCTCATTACCATAAGCAAGGAAAAGTGAGGATAGGGACTTAGATTGACCAGAAAACTTTGATCATTGTTCAAAAAAGCAGCTTCAGTTTCACCACCACAGTATATGAATATATAACATATGAATAACATTAATTTGTTGCCTTAACTGACTCATATTGGTACTTTATTTATAAGTTCTTTCTAATACTCACATTTTGTAAAGACCACTATGATGAGGACTGTCCAGATGAAGATGACTATCAACAAGAGAATGTGAAGACAAATGGGGTTCATCCACACAGCAGAGCCTGGAAACATACAATGTTTTACAACAGGTACAGGTGGTACAGTCTTCCGTACTCAGTGTACACACTTAGTTTATTTCAGGGAATGTTAGTTAGGTCATTTGTTCTAATCCCATGTGGGGATACTACTATTGTGCGGCTAAAGAGAGATATTTCGTATGATCCATTCATCTATTTTCTAACTGGTGTAGCCAGTCTTGGATCACTGGGGAGCCAGAGCCTATCCTGGCAAGCAATGGGCACAAGGTAGGATATATCTTAGATGAGATGCCAGTCCATTGCAAAGCAGACACAGAGATACAAACATGCACACACTCACACCAGGACCTCCTTTTCCAGAAGCCAATTAACCTACTAGCATGTCTTTGGACCAGCATGTCTTTGAGAGAGAAGTCCAGACCACCTGGAGCAAACCCATACGAACAAGGGGAGAACATAAACACTCCACACTCCAGGAATTGCACCCAGGGCCCCAGGAAGCAAAGCTAACCATTGCACCACCATGAAGGCCCTCAAAAAGTGTAAATTTAAGTTAAAAGTTTTATGTAAATAAAGGTTGGGAGTTTTCATCTCTTGTGTAGCTTTGGATAAAACTGTGAGCCAAGACAATTAATTCAATCCAAATTTCCTCATGCAACTGTTTACTGCTCTGGATGTTCTCCTGTTCAAGAAAGCCTATTAATGTGGCAGCTTTCAGAGGAGGTGTCTCATGATAGATAACGTCAGGCTCTAGAATAGAAGTTATGAATCCTCACAAAAACAACTGAAAGCTTTCCTGATTTAAACGTGCTAAAAATGCATTTTCATATATAGCAGTGAAGAAACAAAATGCTGAACACAATAATTTATTATTTTGAAAATATTTTTTAGATATAATGATTAAAAAGGGTGTTTGATAACAGGATATACAGTATTTATCAGAAGCATTAACATATCAGTTATTATTATTTATATCGTAGTTTATCCATGTTCTATAGCATACAGTACTGTAATGTACCGATTAACTATTAACACTGTAAAAGCTTTTTTTGAAACGGTATGGATATGTTATTCAATTCTGCCTTATCTGTCATCAGATATGCACCTTGCATTTTGTTTTGCAATTATTGTGTAAATTTTAAATAGGGTGCATATACAGTATGAGTTTAAATGTGTTTTTTCCACTGGAAATGTGCTCACTTCCTCTGATGTGTCTATTTTAAGAATCATTAGAGGGTGAGATAGATCTCATTCTGAGATAAACTGAAGATTACCTACAGTAGATGATTAATTGAGTTGTTAAAGTCTAGCCCTATTACTGTATGTATGAAGTGTTTTTTATTACAGTATGTTTTATGGGGCAGCATGGTGGTCCAGTGGTTAAGCATGGCTGTCTCACAGCATTAGGCTCAATTCCTGGGGTTCTGTCTGCATGCAGTTTGTATGTGCTCCCCGTGTTTGTGCTCTGATTTCATTATCTTAATACATACAGTTAGGTTAATTTGCTTCTGGAAAAAATGGGCCAGGTGTCAGTGTGTGTTCGTGTCTGTGTCTGCCCTCTCCACGGTGTACCTTACCTCCCCCCTGATGCTTGCCGAGAGGCTCTGACTTCCCTGGGACTGAAGCACTTAGAAAATGGGTGGATGGATTTGACCAAGTGGCTGTGGAAGGGTTGCTGAGCAGTCACCACAAGGGAGAAAAGTTCCTCCTGAACATAAGTTATGAACTCCAATATACTGTAACAGACACTGACTTTAGACCAGGATCAGAGCCAAATGGACTGCTGGATATTTGGGGGTTTTATTCCAATTCCAGCCATCACATCCCTGTCCTGTCTACTTATTTTATTACTTCTATCCTGGTCTAAAAACTTTACTTTGAATCACGTCTTTCAAATGACCTTGAAAAAATATTCCACGTGACTTGGTGGAGATAAGTTGATTGAAAGCTTGACTTCAAAGCAGGCTTCAAGATTTTAGACACATAATCAGAAACTTGTGAAATGTAAAATAAACTGTCAGTCCCTGTTCTATTATTTTGAGCAAATTGCACAACTACTATCAGTATTTGAACACAGATCTGCAACACAGTGCTTAATAAAACCACAGTCATGGTTAAGTTGCTTGTATCTAGGAAATGTCTCACAAGAACTGAAAGTGCAATTCATCAAAAAAGATGAATTTTTCCCCACTAATTGCTTCTGTTATGGAAAGCACAGATGCAGTAAGAATTTACAAATGTGTATACAGTAGTTTTATATTATTTCTCTGTTCACTGTTCTACTAAATAATATAGTAATAATACCATAATGTACCTTAATATAAGTTGATAAAGGCAGTATTGCACAGTCATTATAACAATTTTCCATAGGCAGGAGTATTAATGGAATCGTATAAAACCTTAAATCTACCGTATCAGCTGTACTAACAGCAAAAAACAATTTATTTTAATTGTTTAAAAACTATAAACTGCTTTATCTTTGGGGCAGTCAACAATGTTAATGGAAGAAATGGAAGAGTTTCTCCTGTATTGTAACATGAATAGAAGTGAGGAGATCTGATTGTCTTCAACTCAACATGATATTACTCTGATGAACCATAATCCTGTGTCCACTAAGAAAATACAGCAAATGATGCGCAGTTCAAAACCTTTCTAACTTTGTAACTAACACACTGTATACTGTATCTACATTCATAACATATGAATAAAGCATGCTGAACAGAACTGATATTTTCCATAAATGTAATGTTGTACACCAACAGTGCAGACAAAACTGATAAATTCTATATTTAGACAGAAAAGATGACTGGTAGTGAATTCTTCAACCTTTCTGTTTTTTACTTTATTCATTGTCTAATGAACCTCCTCTACATTGCTGCTGGACTTCCAATTCTTTTAGGAAGTATTTAGGGATGCCTTTCCTAAAATGATTTTTGAAAGCATGGCTGATAGTTCCATCTGTTATATATTAGCACCTTAGAGGTGTGTTTTGCATTTGTACACTATACTGTATGTGAAACATAAGTGTGAATTCTTATTACCCTGTGCATAAAAATTGAGATGTACTTTCATGTGGAGTCTCATTAACCGTGAATAGGAGCTGAAACTCCATTTTCACTATGAATTGGCGAGCAATTACCAGACGTCTTATGTGAGACCTTCCAGTCCAGCTGTTTGAATGAATCGGTTTGCTTAATTTTATTTTTTTTAAGGGCAAACACATACACTCTGCTTCCTCGGGAGTCAGGCCATGTCTTTGCCCTGGCAGGTCTCGCCTGTTTCCCTGCACAGCTTGTCTCCTCTCTGTCATCTCCAGATACGTCTCGACATTTTCGTAATCGCTGTTGTCTGCACTTTCATCTGCAGGAACAAACTGATGCTGTGAAATATGGAGAGTGACTGCAGAGATCACCACCCCCTCCAAAAGATTGTTCACACAGCCAAAGAGAAATAGCAGAGAAATGGTGGCCTCATCAAGGCTGGGCCTGTTTGGTATTGGAGCAGGACACCCCAGATAAAACCAGGCTGCTGCTGTACTGTAAGTGGTTTTGGAGGACCAGTGGGTTGTCTTCTCCCCCTCTCAACCAACATTTCTAAATGTAAGCCCCGGTTATTAAAAGGCAACTGGGGACACTGTGCTGTTGGAGGTGCCACATGAAACCTCAAGCCAAGATTCTGACTACTTGATCATTACAGATCCCATGACACTTTTCAAAAGGATTGATTACCCCTGTATCCAGGATGAATTCCACTCAAGGCTTGTACTGTATAATCTGCTCTTCTTAAAGTTCCATCTTAATTCAATTGGTCAAAATTCTTACTGCTCCATCTCAGCTGCTGTGTAGTGAGTCAGCTGGCTCAAAATATCTAGCACACTTCACCTGGTTATTGTATTATAATATGATTACTATTGGATTCATTCACTACTGGATTCCAGCACAAGTGGTGGAGCCAAAGAAGGTGATACATGTTCTCATCAGGATAGAGAGGAAAGAGATTTGTTGCTTAACCCTGGAATCTGTTTACAACATACTGTAGTAATAGAACTTAAACTCTTTTCTGTTTTATTGGACCAACTCTTGTTCCAAAAAGAACTGGAGTTACATAGTGTACTCTTTAAAAAAATCTACTACAATTGCATATTGGCTTGCCAGAGTACAGCATGATTAAATATCTTGTTCCATTTGTCTGTGATGTCCCATTATCTACAAGAAATATCTGCACAAGAATTAAGAATGAAGGCCTATTAGGAACCTCTAGATTTAAAGTGTTATAATGTTTCACTGCAATTATACTTTTGAACTGAGACTCCAACATGTCTTTATATATCAAGTTAAATAGATAACTCCATTGAATATTGCTGATTACACACTTTATATATAGTATGAGTAGTTTGTGCAACTATCTTTCTTATGAACTACATTCTTATGAACTAAGAACATCTCCATAGAGTACCTCCATAGCATTTTTGTTTAGGGCATATTTATATAAACATATTTAACAATCCAACTTTACAAATTAAAATGTACTGTACATGGTTAATTAATATCAGCATTTTTTTTTACCTACAACATTAAACTCTGTTGATGAATAAATAACAATAATTATCTGAAGTATTATTGAAAAAGCTCATTTCATAAGGATACAGTTTTCAGAAGGTAGGCAGGCCTGCTGTTTGAGTAAGAGGTTTACCTGGCTGAACATTTCTTCCCCGAGCTTGACCCTGCTGTTCCAGGGTTGTTCTCTGGTAGAAATCATAGTTTTCATAATCGTCTGAATCTGACATCCTGTGAGAGATGAGAAGACACCCAAAACTAAAACTGTAAACAACCACATGGATCGTTTTAAGAGTAGCAATCTCTTCACATCCGTTAGTGCTTTACAGTATATTTCTATAGGCCAAATATATGGAAAACTCTCCCCCGAATTGTTAAAGAAACAGCATATAAACACCACATAAAAAGTGTATAAACAGGCTTCAGACCCCAACTCTTAGTTCCCAAGAAGAGGACATGCAGCCACACTAGCTGTGCTGACAGGAGACATTGTGGACATTGTCTAAAAGCAGTGTCTTTGCTACCTTTAGACTCAAAGAGTAAAGAAGAAAAGCACACTGTGGGCACTGCAGGATAAAGAATCCCAACAGCTCTTGTGTGATACTCTGTTAGGCAATCTGGGACACACTGTTGATTTGTAAGAAGGTTTCCTTTTGCTTTAGAAAGAAATAGTGACAAGATTGTTTTCCATAATGAGACATTGAAACACCATCCAATAATTCTATGAAACACATTTTGCAATGCTACAAAGTCTGGTGTGGTTATTACCTAGAGTTAACTACAGTAAGATGTTGATTAAGAACCTATGCCTTTATACTTTATACCTTTAAGCTGGAGGTACTGTACGTATGTGAGATCTTCTGTAGTATCTTCTTGAGTGTTGTAAATTAATTTTTAATGATAAAATAGAGAAGAAAATACTGTAAACAAGTCATCAATTGAACACTGTCAATCACATATACACAAGAGCAGTTACAATAGGTCATTCAGCCCATCCAGTCTGCTTGGTAAGTAGTAATTATCGAGTATTTATTGAGAGAGGTCAGGTTATTGGATTCAACAACATGGCTGAGCAGCTTACACCTTACTCCCCAACCTTTTGTGTAAATGATTGCTTCTTGTTCTCTGTTTTAATGGTCTCCATTTGTGTCACTGTTAATTCTGAAGACGTCCGCTGATGTGGTCAGTGCTTCTAAGGGTTTTCAACATTTGTAAGGCAATCACATAGTTTTGTGAGCTGGACTGCCCTGAAAACTTTTCGTCAGTTTCAAATTATTATTCAGTTCAAAGGAGCAAGTTTTTTCTTTGCGCGGTGTTAAGAACCTTGCTATAATGAGATTATAATGTTTAATGATTATAATCATAATGATGCTTTTTAATTATTATTATTATTATTATTATTATGCTATCAGTGCCTATGAAGGCATTATTAAAACCTTTAGTCATTCAAACCCTATTCCCACCTGTTGAGGTCAATATTGTTCATTTTTAATGTTTACTAGTACAATACAATATTTAATCTTGTTTTGGTGGTTAATAAGCACTTATCAGAAGAATCCACTT